GCACATGTTAGTAATTGGATAAAAACTAGTGGCCCTTTCCCCTGAGAAGGGACCATGTTGAAAATTACTTGCTTTCTTGCTTTGAATCTAATTTCACAATCTGGTATATTGATAATAGTTTCAAACACCTGCTGCTAATTGTTGTTTGGGTGGTTTTGTGGGGGTTACATGGTCTCTCCCCCCATTTCACCCCTCTCTCTTCCAGGAGAAATCCCCATGGTGAACTCATCAGTTGGACCAAACTGCTGTACATGTAATTGCCAGTCAACCCTGCAGGCAATTCTTCAAGAGCTCAAGACCATGCGAAAACTGATGCAGATTCAAGCAGGTACAGTGTCCCATATGTGTTTATCTGTGACAAGCATCTAGTTGAAGATGGTCAAGCTCGTTGCAGGGGTGCTGGACTAGATGATCTTGGGAGGTCACCTTCGACCCAAACTGTTCTGTGATTCTTTGATCTTCCTGTTAGGGAGTGGTCTAACAAGACAGGAACTATTTCCTGCTCTGTTGACACATAGTTCAAAGTCAGATTTTCACAGTCTTTTACAGATTTTTACATTTCTTGGAAATGTAATTACTTCTCAGGTCCTTACCTGTAACATGGGATTTTATCTTGTAGGAATCTTTTAAGGCTAAATTAAAAAAAAAAAAAAATCTAATGTGATTAGATACTCTTGTAGTGAGAGCCCAGTGGGTAGGTCAGTATGCCATAACCACCCCCAGTTTGTTTTCACAGTGCCACTTAATTTGTGATTTACTCACCAGTTCACTAATCTGAGTGGTAAGGAAAATGAAATCAGAATTGTCTAGTTTTCTGCTAGGTTGGGAGCTGAAACAGAACAGTGCAGAGCCAGGAGAGCTCTAGAGCCAGCGAGATAAGGGGACTGTGACAGGCAGGAGCTAGGCAGGTCATCATAGTCTGCTGGGAACCTAAAAATCAGTGACCTCTGTGAGAAAAGGGAGTGTTGAGTAATTAACTGAAACATGGGTGGAGTGAAGGGCTGACTAAACTCCTTGTCTCCACGTGTGTGATGTTTGAGTGAGTGATGGGAAGGATCAGACAGGTTTTGTAATATCAGTTGACATGCATAAAAATGCTTCTCTAGAAGTCACCAATTTAGAAAGGAGCACACAAAGGCCCAGTTTTACAGCCTTTGCTGGGACACGGGCTTCTTTATCACTCCAGTTTCATAGAAGTTACATTGGGGTTGAAAATGGCTTGTGAGTGACAGCTACAGAACTGGGGTTTATGCCAAAAGAGCTGCCTCCTCAATAGCAGGAACATACCTTGTTTATTATGTATCTACAGAGTAAGTACCTTGTTAATTCGTGAAGCTCTCAATTCGCTGGGAGTACTTCATATGTTCTGAAATTATAGTTTTGCAGAGAGAAAAAAATCATTTGGCATTTTTTTGCTAAAAGGAAAAAAAACTAAAATGCAAACATGTAAGTGAAAGTGTAATAACTTATTTTAGTGTTCAAACACCCTACTGTCTTAATTATAAACTACACATCACAGTCTTGTAAGTCCTTGCCAGAAATTAAATATTTTAATAAACAGTATTATAAGGTTTGCTTTTTCCTTAGGCTTTGTAGATGAGAATATTTTATAATTCACTCGTAACTTAAATGAGTTTGATCTGCATGTGAAGCACTTTTGGCTTTTTTTTTTTTTTTTAACCTTGCTTTTAGTGATTTATCCACAGATGTAATTGTATCTTGATAGCATTCTGCTGGAAGACTCACTGGCATTGCTACAGGTTCAGGATTGGTGCCTTAATTTATACAAATTATTGTGAATACTGGGAAATGCAAAATGTTGATATATATAAAATATGGTTTCTTATATTTC